ATTGCATATGGTCATTCCCCAAGAGATGCTCACATCTCTGGTCTAAGGTCAGCATAATCAGCTCAATAATACCAGCATTCAGTTGCCTTATGTGCTTTAGTAGTATCAACTCTGGCTGTCCTCGACACCATCCAGTTGCTAAAGGGGGCGGGAATGGGACAGTAGATTCTCAGCCTGTGCACCGGTAGTCTGTGATTCTGGTGCACCCACTGCTCACTTGTGCCACTGCTTACCGGGAAGGAGGGCTTGCTGCTTTCCTGTTCATCCCTCCAAATTCCAACATGGTTGGATCTCAAAGACGCTGACTTATTCTCTTCCTGGTGCATCTGCTGCTCACTCATGTCACCTTACCAGGAGGGAGGACATGTTGCTTTCTTTTACAGTCCTCCAAGTTCCAGCAAGACTCAAGATTTTTGAAATAGGTAATCTGAATGTACACAGGGCCTATAGTTACTTCACCTTTTCATTCCTCATTGCATAAATTAGACTTTTTTCTTTCCTCTTTTTTAAGGTTCTAAGTGTCTATCAATTTGATATATTCTTTCAAAGAACCAACTCTTCAGTTCATTAATTATTTTTGTTTTTAACCTCAATTGTGTTAATTATTGCTCTGATCTTTATATTTCCCTCCCTTGTAGGGCTATGGATAAAACTTACTCTTCCTTTTCTAGAAACTTGAAGTGTAACATTAGTTTGTTTATTCATGCTCATTCTGTATCTTGATGTGAGCACTCACCTTAAAAATTTCCTTCTTAGTATTGCTTTCATTGAATTCCACAGCTTGTATCTACATTTTCCTTTAATGGTAAATATTGTTTAATTTCTTCTCTAATAGTATCTATGTTCCACTGATTGTGTAGGATAATGCTACTTAATTTCTACACATTTGTGTAGTTTTTATGGTTTCTTTTGACATTAATTTCCAATTGCATTGCACTATGGTCAGACAATATGCATAGGCAAATGGAAATTTTGCATTTGCATTTACTTAAGCATGTGCTGTGGGTTACAATTTGGTCTAGTTTAGGAAAACTCCAAATTGCAGCTGAGAAGAATGTGTAGTCCTGCATTGTTAGGTGGAACGATGTGTAAACATCTCCTAGTACATTTGTTCACAAGTTTGACTTAGTTTTGATATTTCTTTGCTGCTTTTTGTCTAGCTGATCTATCTACAATGGTGTTATTGCTTGTCTGATGTTATCACTTCTATTAATATTTCTCATATAATTGTGTGCTTCTGTATTTAGTGCAGATACAGTTATGATTGCTATAATTTCCTCTTGAAATTTATCTCTAACATATATAGCGACCTTCTTGATCTCTTTTTATCATTCTTGGTTTGAATTTCACATTGTTCACAACCACAATAGCTACACCTGAATGGTTTACTGGGCTCCTGTTGCATAGAGTATTGCATAGATCATTGTTTCCCAACCTTTGTCTTTCAGCCTATGAGTTTCTCTTTTAATTAAATGCGTTTCTGGTACTGAACATATTGTTGGATTTTTTTCTTGATGTATTCTGCAAATCTGTTTCTTTTCTTTGGTGAATTGAGGCCATTTTCATTGATGCTAATATTGACACGTATTCACTTATCTTTGCCATATTACATTCCTGCTGTTGGCTATCTGGGATTTCCCTTTATTTAATGTTTTACCCTGACTGGTAATTTATTTCTGTTGATGTTCTTGGAATTGTGATTTTTAAAAATGTCTTCCCAGGATATCTTGCAGTAGTTATTTGAGGGTTGGTTTGGTGGTCATAAACTTTTTTTGTAATTCTTTGTTAGGGAAGTATCTTTTTTCTCCATCAATTGTGAAAGGTAGTTTTTCAGTGTACATCAATTTAAGTTGGAAGTTATTTTTTAAGGGTTTGAAATACTTCACTCCAAGTGCTTCTTGAGTGTTTGTATTGAGGAGTCAAAATAGAAAAAAAAGAAAAGGAAATCTGTTTATAAAGGAGTGTCCACCCACCTGCTTTTATCCTGTGTGTCTTTGTCTCCAAGCACAAAGGTGGTTCATCTAACTTACCACTGGATGATTCATATTGTTAATGTTGCTTCAGAATTTTTTAGCCCACTTGTACTGCATCTTCATGCTGTGCACCATATTCCGGGTCCTAACCTGTGGCTGACCTTCCCCTGGTCATGTGGTCTCATCAATGTGTGAGAGAGGAACCAGTCTTTTGGATTCTTCCTGGGCTGGTTGCCAGGTCCCACAATACAGGGGAAAGGAATCCATCACTGGATGCTTCCTGGGATGATAGCTGTTAGTGAGAATTTTTGTGCCTATGTTCATTAGGGTATAGTTTTATTTTTTTGTTGAATCCATCGCTGGTTTAGTTACTAAGGTAATACTTGCTTTCAAGAATGATTTTGGAAGTATTGTTTCCCTTTGAATTTCATTAAAGTGTTTCAGCACTGGTGGCTTTAGATCTTCTCTAAATTTCCTGTGGAATTCAGCAGTGAACCCATCAGGACATTGGCTTTTATTTGTTCAGTAAGTTTTTAAATACATTTTCAGTTTCACTGACAAATAGTGGGTTTTAGAATCCATATATCTTCTTCTAGTGGTAATTCATTGTCAATTATTGTGTGTTTTCCAACTTATTAGAGTACATGTTTTCCAAGAAGGTAAAGATGATCCTCTGGATTCCTGCATTATCTGTTTTGTTTATATTTCAAATTATTTGAATTTGAGTCTTTACTTTTGGATGAGATAAGCTAAGCATTTATCAGATGTACTTAGCCCTTCAAAGAACCAACTCTTTGATCATTAATTCTTTGCATTGCTTTTCTAGTCTCCAACTCAATTTGTGCAGCAATTTTTATAATATCTTTGCTTGTACAAGCTTTGGATTTGGTATGTTTTTTGCTTAGAAGTTTGAGATTCAACATTAAGTTGTTATTTGAATTCATTCTGTTTTCCTGATGGGAGAATTCTTCACTTCTTTCATTGCGTACCATAAATTCATATAGAATGTATTGGCATTTTCATTTAATTGTAGAAAGAACATTTGATCTGTGAGCCATTGGATGTTCAGGAGGATGTTCTTTAATTTCTAGTTACTTATGTAATTTCAGTAGTTTCTTTTAATATTGATTTTTATTTTTTTGAACTATTCTCTGATAATACAAATTAGATAATTTCAATTCCTTTGCATTTACTTAAGGATATAATATGGCCTTTACGGGGCCTACTTTTGAGAATGTTCAGTGAGAACTGAGAAGAAAGTATATTACGATGTTGTGGTTGGAAGATTCTGTAGACAATTGCTAAGAAAATTTCTTCACAGATTTTCTTTGCTTCTGATATTTCTTTACTAATTTGGTTGTCTCAATTATCTTCCTATTTCTGAAAGTTGGACATTAAAGTCCCGTATGACAATTGGTTGCTTTTTTATGTCTATTAATATATTTATGTAGTCAGGCACACCCACATTTATATTGTTTTTATCTCTTCATCTAAGAGTTTTACCTTAAAAAGTACACAGTGACCTCTTTCTCTTTTGATCAGTCTTGGATTTAAGTTTACATTGTCTGCAAATAGAATATGTGCCACTGCTTTTTACTACATTGCTGTCACAGGGAGTATTGATTTTCATGTTTGACTTTTAGTCTACAAATTTGTTTTTCAGTTAAATCTGTTTACTGAAGACCCCATATTGTTGTATTTTGCTTCTTCATACATTTTGCTGGTCTGTTTATTACCTGTAGTTTTAGTTGATTTTCTCTGAGTAGCTCCAATGTGGCTCCTCCTCTATTGAGACATGTCAAATCCTCCTTATGTGTCAGATTTATTTCACTGAACAGTGTGGTCTCAAGTTGTATCTGTTTTGATAGAAATGTCTCAAGTTTATCCTTCTTTATGTATTTTAACTCATTTTAAATAAAATTTTTATTCCTGTGATTTGCACTATTATACATCCTGAATTAGCCCTCTGTCAGATGTGTAGCTGGCATTTATTACTTCCCATGGTATGAACTGTCTGTAAGTTGTAGTGCTTATTTTCTTCTCCATTTAGAAACTTTTAAATTTGATATAGTCTAATACATCAGTTTTTGGTTTTGTATATTCTACTTTTTGGCGAATCATTTAAAAATCTTTGCCCATGACAATGTGCTGAAGAATTTCAGTGCTTTTAGTATTTTCATAGCTATACATTTTAAATTGTAGAGATTAAAACATTTAGATTTGATATTTATAATTGGAATTAATTAAATCTATATTTTCATTTTTGTACATTTTATGAACTTTAGAAATATAACTTCATTCAAATGTTGACTATTACCTACACCCAGGACTGTGAGTTTGAACATTTTAATGTTTAAGAAAAGTCTTGAATGGAAAACTTAACAAAGATGATTGTTGGCCTTGATATGGATCTGCAATTTTGTGTATTTTGCCAAGAAACAGAATTCAATAAACTGTAGTCAGCAGTAAATACTACAATACTGATTTGTGAGGGCAACTGGAACTGCAAGTGAGTAGTCAAACCTGAGTATGTTTGGATAGACCTCAGAAAAACATGGGAAAGAAATCAAAGTGTGTATAAATGTTGCTAGGAAAACTTTTGCTTCTAAAGACACAGAGGATGGGGCTGTAGCAATATTAGGCTGAAAGAGCTGGCAAGGTTCTTTTTTAAATTTATATTTAGAATTAATTCATGTACATTTAAAAGCACCAGATTTTACATTTCACCTTAGGGCATCTCCTGAGGTGATCAGTGAGTTGTACCAGCTTAGAAATACAGGAATGTCATCATGATCCCTCCATTTCCCTTCTGAAAATATCTACCTGAGTAGGCAGACATTATTCCTTAGATTTCAAGTTCTTCATTCTTTGAGCACATGAGACCATAACAAGAGGACCCAGGAAATATGCTTTTATAACACTTATGTATTATATTTGTTACTTTCATTGGTAATCTTTACAATTACATAAATGTCACATCACTACTCTATTTTTTAAAAAAAAATAGAATGAGGAAATTTGAAAAACCCTGAATAAAAATAAAAGCAACAACTGACTAATATGCTGTAAGTTAATCTAAGATGAGAAAGACAAAATCAAATGGCAAGATGAAGGAGATTGCAAAAAGAGAGAACAGACATTTAAGTAAATAGGCCTGCACATGTCAATGACTGTTAGACATAAGGAAATAAAAAATTCTAATATATACAAATGGGAATCAGTGAATTCACACTGAACACAATACATGTTTGAAGAAAATAACTTGTATTTACCAAATTTCTTAGCTCTCTAGCTTCATGGAGGAAACTTACTTGAATTTGTCAAATTTCTTAGCTCTCTAGCTTCAATAAATCTACATCAAGATATAGTTTTCATTATCATCATGATGTGATATTAAATATTCTCTTAGGCTTATTCCCAGTGGTAGAAAAGCAAGTACCAGATTATCTAAATGTCAGAAACTCTGCCTAGTTCTTATTATCACTGCACAAGTAAGAATAGAAAGTGAGTAAGGGATATAGCTCAGCAGTATGGCTCTTCTGTACCATGCAAAAGCCCTATGGTCAGTCTTCAATAATGTGGAAAAAACATGAGAGACATAGGGCAAGCAAAAGCAAGAGTGACAGTGAGACAGAGTGATGAATATTGAAATTGAATGAATGACAATGAATGAAATATTGCCACTAAACTTCAAAATATGATGCAATCTCTGCAGTTCAATGATGAAAAAAATATAGATACAGAACTAATTTATTGGCTTTAAGCATTGTGTTCAAGAAGAAAATATGAAATAACTTGTTAAATCACATATAAAAGAGTGATAATGCATTCAATTAATCTGTTGATTGGCATCTGAGCTGTTAGCTGTGACTTGGGCTGTTGTAAATATGCTTATGCAGAAAGAGAAATTGGATTAGTGCAATGAGTTTCTAAATGGAAGTGTTTTATACATTTGTCCATATAAGACAGATGGGTGAATAAAGATAATGTGGTATATTCACACAATAGAACATTATTTTATCACAAAGAATAATAAAATCACATCACTTGGAGGAAATACATGAAATTTGACAACATCGAACTAAGTGAAAGAAGTCAGACACGGAAATTAAATATTATATAGTTTCTTCTTCGCAATAATTCAAAAATATAAATAAATGGATGAGTGAGTGTAATAATGGAGAGATAGTAGAAAATAAGAAAACGTTTTGAAAGTGGTAAAGTGTGTCAAAATGAAGGATGAAGTGAGGCAGGAACAAACAGCTTGAAAATGAAAAGGATAAAAAAGAACGAGGGAGTGAGGATTTAGCTCAGTGGCACAGGTGCTTATACCTGGAAAGCATGAGGTTGTGAGTTTGATTTCCAGTACAAAAAGGGCAGAGTGAATTTGTAGTCTGTGTTGAAATGTATTTAGACTTCCCATTATGCAGTCATTTTTAAAGAAATATACTGATGGAGAATCAGAATTCTGGTTCATCACTATTTCTGTCATTTTAGGTGATATTAGGAACTCAAGCTACAAGTAGTTGACATAATCACAGTAAAGAAGGTTTACCAGTGAGGAGATGTGTCAAGGATTCCCTCATTTCCTTATTCCTCAAACTGTAGATAAAGGGGTTCAGCATTTGAGGAATCACAATGTACATCATTGAAGACACTATATTCTTAACGGAAGAGCCTTTAACTGCAGAACTCAAATACACACCTAAACCTGTCCCATAGAATAAAGACACGACTAAGAAGTGAGACCCACAGGTGGAAAAGGCTTTATATCTTCCACTCACAGAAGGAATCCTCAGAATAGAAGAGATAATTTGAGTATAAGAAAAAATAATCCCACATAAAGAAATCCCAGCAAATATGCTAGTCCCTAAATTCATCAGCAGAAAATTAATGAGGGTGTCAGAGCAAGAGAGTTTTATGACCTGAGCAAGCTCGCAGAAGAAGTGGGAGATTTCCAGGTCTGTGCAGAAGGACAGCCGCAGCACCATCAGACTGTGAGGCAGAGCATTCACAGTAGTCATGATCAGGGAGAGCAGAACCAGCGAGACACAGTGTAGCAGGTTCATGATGACTGTGTACGTCAGAGGGTGGCAAATGGCCACATAGCGGTCATAGGCCATCACTGCAAGGAGACAATTTTCCAAACCACCAAAAATCAACACAAAGCTAATCTGGGAGACACAGCCTGTGTAACTGATTCGCTGATCCTGTGTTTGGATGTTCACCAACATCTTTGGGATCGTGGTTGTGCTTATACAGATGTCAGTGAACGACAGGTTGGAGAGGAAGAAGTACATGGGTGTGTGGAGGTGGGAGTCAGAGCTGACCGTCAGCATTATGAGCAGGTTTCCCAAGATGGTTATCAGGTAGATAGACAGGAACAGGCTGAAGATGAGGGGCTGTAGGTTTGGATCATCTGTCAGTCCCACAAGAAAGAATTTGAAGACAGGTGTTTGGTTTGTAAGCTCCATTTCAATAGTATATCATGCAGAAAACATGTGGCAAAAATATGAAATGAATGCTTTCTATACAAGCAAAAGAAGCACCTGGCAGCAGAGTAGGTTTAAAAATCTTGGCACATTTTTCCACTAACAGTTGATAGTGTCTGGAGATGAAGAACAGAAAAATATGTTTCAAATAACACTCCAGCTGAATTTCACGCCTCTACAATTTGAGAACAAGAGCTTTAAACAAGCAAATAAACAGACTGCCATTTATTTTTGAATGGCACAAATATGCAAATATTTGCTTACATTCTCTCTATTTTTCATTCTACCCAATTTCTATATTGTACTCTCTTTGTTATCACTAACATTTTTTCATTTATTGTGTCAAGTGCTAAAGTTTTAACCAGAGTAATGCATGGATATTCCATACTTTCATGCCAAAAGAAAGATATTGATGAATTTACTAACTCTCCTTTGCAGAATAAATCTCCAAATGTTTGACACCATAGATGAAGGGCTTCTCAAATTACAGATGAATCAGTTAACATTTTAGTCTCATAGACACAGGATAGCATGTCATAAACATGATCTTTGGCAAAGATTGGAACAGAATTCAGATTGACTGAAAGTTAACATTCAGTTAACTCTGCTGTCTCTGAAGAGTGAAGAATTAGCCTTCCTAAATGACCCAGAAAATATTATAATTCCCCCTAAATAAGTCTGCCTGAACATATTCTCTAGTGATTCCTTGATTTTTAGATGAGTCTACTACTCCACCATCGATTCAAGCAGGCATGGAATTATGAGTGCCTATGATAGGAAAACTTGATGTGAAAAATTCCACACCATAAGAAAAATCATAAGTACTTTGAGCCATTATATATATATAGCTATAGATTATGCATAATAGATCAGATAATAATGTAAGACCTCCAAATAATAAATATTTCACTAATTTTACCTATTTTCTTTAGCTATTTTTATTACAAGAAACAATAAAGACTACTTTCAGGCCCTCCCTGTGTTTACTTAGACTAATTTTATTATATTCTTTCTCAGGATAATTATCACACAACCATGTTATATGTTATTCTCCCACAATTTTTATTATGTTTAGTAGTATTTTTCCAAGTAAATAAAATATGCAATATGTTGCCTTTTAGATACTTCTTTACATAGACCCTAATATATGTGCTGTTGATATTTGGCAGTACCCCTTCACAAATTCTAATTACCAGATTATTCCACCATACTGTCACAATTTACATTATGTTTGGTGCTATTTTTCCAAATAAATAAAAAATGCAGTATGTTGCCTTCTTCTATAAAGGTAAGATCTGTATTTTTCATTTTCATTCCTAGTCATTTCATACCCAGCCTGATGTCTTAGTGATGGTGATTCTTTGCCTTTGGAGTTTTACCAGAAAAGCTTAGCAAATGCCTACATAACATAAAATTTTCATTTAAAAATCATAATAGAGAAAACAAAGCTATTAATAGATATTAACCTGTGCACTGATTTCAGATTTTTAGATAGCTTAACACTAATATTTCAAAAAACAAGGCTTGAAAGCATCTTGCCCAAAGAGTAAACCTCACTCAGGCTGTTAGTCAAATTCTGCTTGATAATTTGTTTGTCACATACTCTTTCATCATAGGACAATCAATAATCATCTAATTTCTTCTTTACTTAAATTGATTGTTAGCCTATCTATAATAATGAAAATAAAAAATGTGGTACATATTTTAAGTTAACTGATTCTACTGGGTCTCATGATTTCTATTATTTCAACACCATGATTCTGTGCCCTTGCAGAAACAATCTCTCAGTTAAGAAAAATAAGGTATAAATTTCAGGGCTTACAAAGAGAAAAAAGGGATTCCTTGTCCAACCCTTTCTTCCTTAAAATAATTAAATTTGATTTAAATGTTAAAGATCAAACAAACATTTTCCAAAAAATGAAGCCAAGCCACAAAACAGCCAGCTAGTTATGGAAGACAATGCCGATAGTGGAGGATCATCATGGTAGCTTCAGCTCAAGCTCTGGTCTCTGTCTGCTCTGGCTTCTCTTCTTCCTTTCCTGCCAGCCCAGCAAGAGATCCAAAGGAGAAAGTGCTTTCACACTGCTGGATGGAGGAGACTTGTGACACTACAGACATTTGAATAGAGGAGTTATTTTTTTTAAAAAAATGCTTTCCAAGATCATACTGAACAAGGTCTCTTCTTGCTATTGCTTTAAGCAGTTCGATACACTAAATCACTTTATACTTCAAACAAGCATCTTTAGTGAGTAAGCTCTGGTGAAATTTTTCCCCAGTGCTGACATTGAAATGGTCAATCTCTGAGTGGATAAGCATGTGCAGTTTTAGGTTCTGAATGTAGGTGAATCGCACCCCATGGATTGGACACTGAAACAGTCTGTCTGGCTCATTTGGACTTGGTGGTTCTATACTGATGGTAGAAACAGCAATATAGGATACCGAACATTTTTCCATTGATCATCATCATTTGCATGAGCACTAGTGCTAGAAGTGCCTTGTATTATAGGCAACCCTCAGTAGCACCTAAATGTACTGAGTCTATATTGGAAGACTACTTTTGGACTCATTCACTTCCTGCTGATTACTCAGCAAATTCTGAGATGTACTAACAGACTGGGATACTCCCTCATGGATTTCCTCATCACTTCTCCTTTCTACTTTGACTCAGACATCCTCTTCGGAAACCAGAGGCAAGGCAGTTTTTGTGCTCTCAGAAGTCACACAATTACTCATTCTCCCACCTGCCAGGTAATTCTCAAATCTGAGTTTTCTGACTTCTTAACTTTCTCAGGCTGAACCCATTGACCAATTCCAAAAGGAAAAGTCCCAAGTAAAGTTCAGGACATATTCAGTGTTTTATTTCTACTTTCTGTGTAGGAATTTGAAGAATTCAATACCTAGGGAAAACTTGTTTGTGTGCCACACTTTATAGGACTCTCAGGAGACGAAATCATGTATTTTCTGCAGTTTGTCAGGGATTCTCAGCAGACAGGAGTGGTTCTTTCCACACTGTGCTGTGAAGATCCTGAAAAAAATGCATGTATTTTGAGAAGTAAAATTGAAGTTAGAATTATTTTCTAGCCCAGGATTCAGACTCTTTTCTGACTAGTTATTTAGTGTATATATTCCATAAAATAATTTTTTCATGACCTCTGAGGATGTGCTGGTAATTCTAAACATTTGCATATAGCTGACTGCAGGTGGAACAATAGAAATAGCTTCTGTGTTCACAGAGGTACATAAGTATATTCTAAAGTAAAAATAAAGCCAGTCACTCTAACATGATGGAGATCCAGCACATTTTTGTTCTCATCTTCTCCTTGGTATAGAGTTTAGACTGAAGGAAATCACTGCAAGCTACTAAGACCACGTTGGGCACTGCCAAGATTTTATTCTGTACATGAATACTGATATCACAGAAATGTCCATCATTTCACAGCATATTTAGTTTTCCAAGCATTTTTATATGAGAAAAGAATCTATGAGTCAAAGTTTTCATTTCTTTGCGTTCGTCTACTAGAGATACTCTTCAAGGATGTGAATTGATCTGAAATGTCTTGGATTAGGATCAAGTGGTTCAAGAAGGAAACATGTTTTCAGAGCAAGTATCAATCAGCATCCAAGCACCAGCTGCTGGCATCAATCTGGCAGGCCTGCTTCTCCTTCAATTCCCTAAGAGCAATAGACCACATCTCAGGCCACTACGCCAAGGCTTGGGCACAGCTAGAGAACAGTGCAGCCTGCAGGAGTTAAGTCCAGCCACCTAGAGGGGCCTGAGAGTAGTCTCAATGGGATGGTTTGAAGCAAGCCATGGGCACACCAGGGACAGAACAAGCCAGTGTCCCCCAAGGATCAGCCACACTGGAACTTGAATGAATGACCAAGAATGCAATAGTCCATCCTTCCTGCCATGAGTGAGCCACAGGCACACCAGTGAGAGAAAAAGTCAGCATCTTCTGAGATTCAGCCATGCTGGAACTTGGGGAACCAATCAAGAAAGGAACAAGCTACCCTTTCTGATAAGTGGCATGAGCCACGGGCATGCAAGGGAGAGGATAAGTCAGTGTCTCCCATGAACCCACCAGCACACGGGCTGAGAATCAAAAGTCCTGTGGGCCTTCCACCCCCACAAACTCCCTGTTACAAACTGGATGGTTTCAAGGTCAGCCAGAGTTAATAGCAGCTAAGGTACACAAAACAACTAAACGCTTGTATTGTTTGGTTGATTATACTGGACTGGGGCCAGAGGTCTGAGCATCTCTTGAGAGGATGACAGTATGCAACATAGCAAATATGGGGGATTTCCTTCTATCTTGTTTTTGAAGGCAAATATTGTTTTCACTGTTTTGCTTTGTTCTGATTAATTGTCTTGCTCTATTCAATATTCTGTTTTGATTGGTTTTGTAGTGTTCTGTTTTTGGTTTGATTTTGCTATACCTGATTGAATGGGCAACCATTGTGAAGATAACTAGATATACTATGATATCATATTACTGTTATACCGGCATCCTGCTGTGAAGTTCTGTACCAGTTTCACTGCATTGTCTTGATTGGCTTTGTTCTGTACTGTTTTGTTGCATTTTACTAACTTTAACATTTTTTTAAAAAGAAAGAAAAGGGGAATGGTTGGCCCAGGGTGAGTAGCAGATGGGGGAGCACACAGGGCTTCAGTTTTCCCCAGTGGTTTGAGGGTCGCTGCTCCACACACATTTTAGATTTACATAATGATCACATCCATCCTAGGCATTTTGCACCTGTACATTGTATATTTTAATTCCTTTTCCTCCCATTCCTCTATCCTACCTTCAACCTCTCTTCCTCTTTTGTTTACAGAAGCTTTGTTTCCAGCTTTTCTTCTTTTCTCATTGCTTTTCTCTTCCCTTCTTCCTTTCCCCCTCTCCCCTCCCTATTCCCATTCTATGTTGAGATTTTTCCATTTCCTAGACCTAGTAAGAGTTTTGGTACTTCTTTGCACTTTGTATTTTTCATGCCAGAGCAACAATATGATA